GTGCCATCATTTTTATTTGAGATGTTCTTTCTAGTTAATGGTTGCAGGTGCAGGAGATGTATCGACTAATCTCCCCTTTCGTGTTGGCTGTATCAAAATTTTTTACCTTTCTGGTCTTTATCTCAGTGAATTGTATTACGTTGCCTGTGCTTTGTCTTTGATAAAAAGCTTCCCATGTTTAGAACATATGGAAATCAAGGTTACTCTATTAATTAATCATTTAGTTATATTCTTACGTTATCATTCCATAGTGACTTCTTAGATGCTGAAATCATTTGATGTTTTTTTTTAATTATTTCGTAGGTGGAATCTTGTTGTGTACCTATGGCACGTGATAACATTGATTTGGAAGCAAGTTTTGTAGAAATAACATTCATCAACCTCAAAAAAATTGTGATTAGGAGGCTTCGAGGGATAAGTCCTCACATGCAACTGTTGAAGCTTCTTGTGGAAAAGTCTCCGGTTCTTGCGAAAATCACAATCGAGGCATTGACGAATGTAGATTATGAAGTTCTCAGATCAACAATTGAGAATTCTGAATTTAGGTGTGCATCACCTGTTGCTGAATTTGTATTGAAATATTAGTACAATTGTGGTTTTTTAAACAATTTTGGTAAATTGCATTTTTGGACAAATTCTGGTACATGGCATGGTTTGATTGCGTGTTTTGAAAATCCTGCTATGCCATGTTTTGACAATTATGTTCCATGGCATGTTTTGACAATCATGCTATGCCATGTTTTGACAATTATGTTTGTTGGCTAGTTTTAATTTTCTTATGTTTCGTGATGTGAATCTTTCATAATGCCATGTGTGTTTGTTAAAATGACTGCTTAATGCTTCAGCTTGAAGTCACTAAGCATGGTATTTGTTAAAATTTCATTAATGCTTAAGCTTGAAGCTTAATGGGGAAATATCTATGTGCTCTAATTGTGCTTCTGAAGATGAGTTGATCCTTGTATTCTTTAATTCAATATTTATGTACAAAAAAATAAGTACATATTATATTCTTTAATTCAATATCAAATTCTAGAAATATTTAATAGTCCATACCCAACCACTATATATAATAGTCCGTACCCAACCACAATATATAATAGTCCATACCCAACCACACACAACTTTTAAACCCTAACTCTTACCAAAATCCTTGAACCAAACGATCCCCATCCGACGAAGATATGAATCCATCTTTTGAAGTTCTGATGAAGAATTCATACATAACGCAAGATTATATGGTAAATGAGCTCTTTTTTCATTTAAAATTCTGTTTTTTTTAAATGCTTGTGATTTTCGACTTGGTTTTGCAAAATAATCAGAAACGAAATAGGTGATGTTTCGATTTGGTTTTGAAGAGGGGCACATCTGGTCTCAACCAAAAAAAATTGAGTTTCAACCAAATCCAATTTGAAACAAACAGAACTGGTTGTAATAAAATATCAAACAAACTGTTTTTTTAATTTTTATTTATTAATCTCTCAACCAACCAAGTATACATATAAAAATTAAGTTTCAACCAAATCTAGTTTGAAACAAACAGATCTGGTTGTAATAAAATATCAAACAAACTGTTTTTTTTAATTTTTTTTTATTAATCTCTCAACCAACCAAGTATACATAAAAAAATTGAGTTTCAACCAAATCCAGTTTGAAACAAACATATCTGGTTGTAATAAAATATCAAACAAACAGTTTTTTTAATTTTTTTTTATTAATCTCTCAGCCAACCAAGTATACATATTGCATTATTTCAATTTTTTTTTCTTTTTGTTTGCAGCATATTCCAAAATATTTTTACGAACACCTTCCCGAATCACATAGCACAACGGTTCTTCACTATGATGGCGAGCCTTGGTTTATGAAAATTAATATGGGTAAGCGGAGATGGTTCAAAGACGGTTGGAAATATTTTCTGATGAATAATAACATCAAGTGGGGTTGGTTAATTAACTTTGAGTTGGTCGAAATTACACAATTCTGTGTTATCTTCCAATTGCACGTGACAGGCCGAGTAACTCTCCAAGATCCCGTTGAAATTAACTAGTTATGTTTTGTCTTCCCAGTTTGTGTTGTTTTTAACTTTTGTTAGCTTTTTTTTGTGTAATATGTACTTTTATTTTCCAGTTTGGTTATTATGTAATGTGTATTTTGATTTCGGACTCTTTTGATTTTCCAGTTATCAAATTGGTATATCACTTGGTATCATTTCATTACCCTAACTACAAACCCTAACTATATAGTTGGAATGTGAATAGTTTTTAGTTCAAAAAAGGGTTGGTAACCGAAATAATAAATGCAAGTCAACTAACACCAAATTTCCCCTGAAATAAATGCAATTCAACTAACATCATTAATTGCGACAATTCAAACAAAACCAAATAGTGTGGCCAAAAATAGGTTGTTTTTTTCACTGAAAATCAGGATGTTTGATACTGGCTTGGCCCCTATAAATATGGTCACATACTCAAACACTAAAGACCTAAACCACTCACATACTCAAACCTAAACTATGGATGCCTCTCCCTCAACCAAACGAGCCCTAGTTTACTCTCATACTAGCAGTGACGACATATCTTACTCTTCTACTTCCAGTGATATTGAAGAAGAGATTCCTCCAACTTTTGAAGTGATTATGACTGATTCATGCATTGACAACGACGATCTGGTTATGCATCNCTCGAGATTTTGTTAAATTTAACATGGAAATTGGTTGGAATTCATTAAAAGGGGTAAAGCTAGGGCTTGAGTTTTTGATATTTCAAATTGGAATTTGATAGGTCATTTGAGCTCGGATTTGGGAGTTCTTGGTATGTATGGACTCGTGGCGAGACGAGGAATCCGGTAATGTGAATTTTGTAATTTTTCGAGAAGTGGGTCCGGGGCTCGGGTTTTGCTAGTTTCGAGATTTTTGCTAATTTTCGATTGCTTTCGATTGGGTATTGTTCCATTGGCTTATTGTGATGTATTCGCTCTGATTTTGGTTTGATTCGACGCGCGTGGAGGCCCATTTGAGGGGCAAAGGCGTCGCGAGCTAGAGATTTCACCGGTTCGAGGTGAGTAATACTTGTAAATGATATCCCGATGGTTTGAAACCCCGGTGTATCACACTGTGACGCTATATTAAGGCGAGTCACGCACTCCATGATGAGTGCGGGGTCGATTGTGAGTAGGGATTGTGGCTTAGTCCGCCCCGAACGGTGTCCAAGCTGTGCTTTGGACTATAGATTGATTTGTAAACATCCTACTTGGATTGTTATGATATATTTGGGCTGTGTGCCGACTATTTGAATCCCTTGGGGATTGTTATCACTGCATCCATGATATTCAGCATGCTATATGATTTCAGTCCTGAGTTTTAAACACTGTTTCGAAATACTTAGTCACCTTCCAAAGGTTTTAAAGACTTAAACGATAATTTCCTAATAATTGGAACTGAGAATTAAAATCTGACTTTGTTGTATAACTCACATGCATATTCTGGACTGAGTGTGGATCGGGCTGCACGCCGCAGCGATGTCACAGATATTGCACTTGGGCTGTAGGAGCCCCTCCGGAGTCTGAACCCCCACAGTGAGCGCGGGTACCCAAACGGATCGGGCTGCGTGCCGCAGCGGTCATGTGCATTGCATTGCATTCATGCATTGGTTCCTGTTTATACTACGTGTCATGACATTCAGCACTCTCATATCATTGGCATCCATGCTACTTCTTGCACTGTTTACCGGATACCCGGTGTTATTTGTTGATGGAGTGTTGTGCCCGAGGGGCTGACTTATGTGCGGACTTGCACTATCTGATTATGCATTCATTTGCTTGACTGTTGGAAAAAGGATATTTTCAAAAGAGGTTTTTAACTGAGCCAGATATTTTCTCAAGGATTTTTCATGGTTTTACTGTTTTCTCAAAGGGTTGTACTATCCCATATAGCCGACGGAGTGCTCTTACGTGATTTCTTGCCACTCAGTTATTATTTACTCTTATTACTCACTGAGTTGGAAGTACTCACTTTACTCCCTGCACCTCGCGTGCAGTTGCAGGTATCGTTCACCCGGTAGCGGGTTATTAGCGGATAGAAGGTATTGTTATTGTAGCTGAGCAAGGTGACCGCCAGCGTTCGCGGCACCGGATGTTGTCTTTTGTTTTCCAGAAATTTTACTTCTATATATTTTTTTGGCCTGTAGTTGTGTTAAGGTTTTCTTAGATGCTCGTGACTTGTGACGCCCCGCTCGGGTTGTGTTGGGTTGTAATTAATAGTTTTTTTATGCTTTTAAGTTGTACTTTCTATTCATTTACGTTTAGTAATTGTTAAAGAGAGGATTTGGGTTAGTTGGCTGGCCTTGTCTTCACGAGAGGTGCCATCACGACCGGGTATGGAAATTGGGTCGTGACAATGTATTCAGAAGTCATACGTGGGTAACCTCCAAGAAAGAAACGTTTCAAGTGCGAACGAACAACATCTTTTCTCCACCTTCTCAATATATACCTCTCATTAACGTTATTAATCGTCTTATGAGACAACACCTTAAGTATATGGCAGCATAGAATACCTCTTGTTTCAAACCACTTGCAGCTGCAACTTAGATATTCGCCAATAGGTGTATATTCAACCGCGAATACAAATGGATCTCTAGTGTTAATACTCCTGAACGAATAATCTGAGATAATGTAATTCTCCACCCCAGCTGTTGCTTGATGGTCTTCAGGGGAGCTGATTTCATAGTGGTACAGTTTCCTTAACTGTACTTGAAAAAATTCAAACACTTCACGAGTATAACATGTTTGAAATTTTTCCTCCCATGCAAATTCAGATAAACATTTTGGTTCAAAGCACCTTGACCTATATTCAGCTTCCAATTCTTTATCGAACTTAGCTCTTATGGCTAACTCATATTGCTGAACAAATAGCTTCAAAGTGCTTTGCCGGGTGATGAATCCGTCAAAGAAAGCATGCATTCCTTTACTTCTTTGTGTGGACAACATCTCAGCCCAAAAGTGGTCATTTAGGTATATCGGAACCCATTTCTCCTTCTCCAAATAAGCTTATAAAACCAATCCCTTTCCTCTAAGTTATATTTTTCAATAAAATCAGTCCATCGTCTCTCAAACTCGGCAACGTTAATGCTATCAAGGACTAAAGCCTTAAATTCTGCCTTTGCAATCTTACCATCAAGAACTCCGCTTAACTTCGTAGGCAACTTTGCGAATATGTGCCATATACAATATCTATGTATTGTATTTGGCATCATAGCACTAATGGCAGCCTTAATACTATCACATTGGTGAGTCATGATAGCTAATGGATGAACATTGTTTAGAGCCCCAAGCCATGTAGATAGCACCATTTTGTAACTTGTTATATCCTCACTAGACATAAGAGCACATCCCAAAAGTATGGATTGCCTATGCTGATTGACACCAACAAATGAAGCAAATGGCATATTGTATCGATTCACAAGGTATGTGGTATCAAGGCATATTACATCATGGAACTCCTCATATGCAACCTTAGAGTGTGAATGAACCCATACAACATTACGAAGTCGACCAAAACTATCCACATCTATGGAGTAGTAAAATTCCATATCTTTTTGCTGCATGTCACTGAAGAACTTGAGTAATGATTGTGCATCCCCTTCTTGCAACTGAAGCTTTCTACTCTTCAAGATATAATTTCTACAGTCCTTTGGTGTACAACCCAGATTTTCGGGGCCACCAGCAAGTACTTCAGCGACTCTTATATTTTTTTAGGGTCTTAAGCCAGCAATATCTTTGGCTGCAAGAGTTCTCTTAAGAGACTTGCTAAGCGATCTGTGTCCAGCCATCAATCGCGATAGTGCTGGTTCCAATTGATGATTATGTTTTTTTCCACTTTTGAAACACGCCATGAACCATTCTCCTCCAAAATTCCATTTATTCTAGCGTGGATGTTCCTCCTCTTGGTAACATGCTTATTCCTTGGTTTCCTAGACCTATCACAACCATATTGCACATACCTAACAATATCACCACCTTTTTTGTTGGATGTTCTTTTGACAATGCAAAAACCCGATAATCTTGCATGTTCTTTGTAAAAATCAAACAGAACATCCTTACTACTGAACCGCATCCCAGTAATTGGACCAATTATAAGTTCTTCTCCATTGAACTCATTAGGCATTTCCCTGTCCTCTCCAACTTCTCCCTCTTCCTCTAAATAATGGATGTCGTAATCATCATCATCATCATCATCATCATCATCATCTGCAGAAGCAGCAGCAGGAGCATCAGCATCGTCAACAGGATTTTCTCCATCATTGAAGTTGCCGTCTGAATCAATGTCGATCGATTCATCTTCATTCATCAAACTGTTCATCTTCATTCATCAAACTGTCGTCCGAATTCAACCCTAATGATATGTGTAATGCATTCCTTAGTTGATCCGACCTAGTTTCTAGACTGTTATTCGGGTTTAATGGGTCCAAACTAGTTTCTCGGTTAGTATTCATGTTTAGGTTAAGGGAAGTGTGGTGAATTATGTGTTTAATGAAAGCTATCTTAACATTAGTATATGGTATGATATATACATAATAGACCTTTGATCTTCCCATCCGTATAAATTGCATTTAATTAAAAAAAAATACGTAATTGTATTTAACAAAAATACGTAAATTTTAAAAAAAACGTAATTGTATTTAAAAAAAACGTCTTGAGCGTATATACGAAGGCTGCCATCCGTATATACGAAGGCTTTTTATCTTCCCATGCTGAGAGAATGATGATTTATGGGATCAATGTTTTGGAATAATCAAAAGTTATTAACTAATTTTGGAGGGAAAAATTTTGGAGGGAAAAAAGGGCCATTAAGCCAAACGGAAAAATAAGGGCTTTACTGGTATTTCACGGGTGTGGTCATTTTTGGGCCACGCTGAGTTTGGCCGAATAGCAGCACTCTTATAATTTAACTGAACTAAATTGTTAGTATATTTACCATATTATCATTAATGCATATTAATAAATTTAATCGTAATTACGTAATAAGTGATGTGGTTGTGTCAAATTTGACACCAATCGATGTATTATTAAACTGCAGGCGCGCTATTCTGCGGTGCTTGCTAGCTGGAGTTTCACTAGTTCTTCTTATAAAAGTTTGAATACAATTCTATTGTTATTATAATATTAAAGCATGTTGATCTTTGACTTTCAACGTAATGCCCAAACCTATGTTATTGGAAAATGACATTCAGACACTAAAGTACGTACCAAATAAATGTATTTAATTTATGAAGCTTCCTAGCGTGAAAAAAAACTTAGGAATAAGTAATAATTGCAGCCAAGAGGTATTTAACCAAAATTTGTGTAACTCGGTCAAACCTTATTTTAAGAAGTACTCGGGCTACTGATAATCAAGAAATTTTATATTTACTTTTCTATTATATAGAAAAGGAAAGATGGTTGACCAAGGCCATATATGTCATTTCATAAAAAATTCATGTTTGTATTTCTTAAATGTAAAATACATGTGGACCCCACAATCCTCTAGCCACAACTCTCCTTTAAATGCACTATGCATGTGTTGATTACACTATTTGTGTAGTGCAAATGCTCATTTCCAATCTTTTTCTCATTTTGGAAAATTATTAATTTTTGTTTTATTTAAGTAGAAGTTTCCATAGAGAAAATGAAATTAATTTTTAAATAATACAACAACAAAAAGAAGTATCGATATTTACGAGATTTTCATATTTACCCATACTATCTTAAAGCAATTTAAAAATAAAAATTAAATAATTTTCATCTACCATATTATTTGAAAACGATTTCAAACTAAATATTTTTATATTCAAAAGTAACTTTAAAATATATAGCTTGTTAAACCTCAAAAGTTAATTAACTAAACACCAACAAATAATAATTTTAATAAAATTGCAATGTTGGGCCCATATACGGGCCTTTCCTCATCTAGTAATGATAAGAAAGGAAATTAAAATATGAGGTAGCAAAAATAGCCAATAGTAAGCAAAAGAAAGTAATTGTATTCCAATAGTAATCAGAACATGTCTGTACAAATGATATTTCTTTCCCTTTTATAGGAGTCTATAAGAACAACATCTTTCCCCTTTTATGACCGAATCACTATGAGCATTAATGATAATAATGAGACGTTATAATTGGTAATCGTAACTGTTTATGAAGATTCCGTAATGTTGGAGATCATTCATGCTTATTAACTAATGATTCATGAATCTTTCCTTTTTAATATCTTGATTCATTCCGCCGGTACCTCTTCAGGTAACCGTTTAAACTTGAGTGACCTTATCTTCTCCTCTCGTGGGTGATTTGCTCGTATCTATTACGACTCGTGCCTCTTTTAACGCATCTTTCCAATTGTCGCTTTCTTACTGATCCACGTGTCTTGTCATATCAACCACTCATATAAATTCACGTGTAATATTTATTTTTTACCAATACCGATAGTCCCCCTACTTGCCGAATATTCTACAGTTGAATATTTGGGAAGTGGTATGTATTTATGGCGGGAATTTTTGCCGCCGTTTTCCATGTACCATTATGTCTTCTCCAGAATCAACGTGTCGTATGTCACTTTCATTTAATGCATGTGCCACGTGGCCTTTGTTAATTGGGTCTGCGGCTCTTCAGCGATTTCTAGGGCTTTTTTGCGGCTGCAGCAGTCATGAAGTGATTGTTTCATCATGACGTTTCCTTCATGACCCCCTTTACATGACAGTTGCTTCATCATATAAATACCTCATCTGCCTTTGCTTTTACGAAAAACTTTCTACTGTGTTCCTTGTTCTTCATCACGTTTTACTTTCTCATACAACTATGTCTTCTTCAAATCCTGATCCCCGTAAAGTTGTTATAGTGGATGAACTTTCCCCTTCGTCTGCTCCTACTAGAAGTAGAAGAGGTGGCAGGTTATGTAGTTTAGGATCTGTTTCTATCCGTGGTTCTTTTTCTCAACCCAGTACCACTACCCCGTCGTCTTCTAGAACTAGGGCTTCTTCTTCACATAGATCTTCTGTTAGAAGTAGGGATTCCAGTGAACCACTTCGTGAACCTACTGTTGATGAGATCATTCCCGCTAAACTTTCCTTCTTTACTGATAGAGAATCGATTAGAAATCAGGTCATTTCCATGGCTTCTTATGATCGTGCTGATGTTTACCCTTCCCAGATTATTGAGGGTTTGATTTCCCTTGTGCGGAGAGATTGTCACTGGAAACATGATTTCCCAATTTTAGTTCCTAATGCAAATCAAAGGGTCACCTCGTTCAAAGCTGGTTATTTTTTTGTGTATACATATCCCTTTACGTTGGGTTTTAGACCACCTATTGACCCAGTCATCATAGAGTTTTGTCGTTTCTTCAAAGTTTGTTTGGGACAGATTGGTCCTATTGTGTGGAGGGTTGTGGCATGCCTTAAATACTTGTCAAACTTGGCTTCTTTAGCCTTCACCTTTTATCATCTGATTCATTTTTACTCCCCCAAGTTATTTCGTTCTGTGGTGTTTACTCTCGTGGCCAGGACTAAGAGGGTTTTAGTGAGCCCTGAAGATGACAAGGATCGTGGTTGGTATGCTCGATTCATTGCTGCTCCCACAAGTGGGTTAGTGGGAGAAGAGAACATGCCTTTCCTAGAAAAGTGGAACTTTGCACGTAAGTTCCTTTTCATATTTTCTATTCCTCTTCTTTTTGTGAAGAACCTTCAATCTCATTGCTGTTTTATTTTTATTTTTCAGCAACCATGAAGTTGTTGAGGAAGTCCCAGATTTTCGTGGTTGGGTAGAAAAATTGTTAACTGTTGCTCCTATGGAAAAAAGGTCCTAGAAATACCTTTTTAATAGGTTTGGATGGAAAGTGAAGACTCTCGGTATCCTTCTCTTCCCCTGTCTTCCTTGCTTTTATATTTACTTTGGCACTTACTAACCCTTTTCCTCACTAGGGTTTCTCATTCGGGGTGTGAGTGTTGCATCGATTACTTCTTCAAGACTCTCTTTGTCAATGGCTCAAGAAATAATCTTGAGTTCTTCATTAAAAAGAAAAGCTGATAGAGCACACAGTTCCAAGAGTGAAGAGGAGCGGGAGGAGAGCTCTTTGGTTCTAAGTCTCGAGCTAGGAGACGTATCATTTCAGATGACGAAGCTACTCCTCCTCCCAATTCTGCTCCCATGCACGAGCCTGAAGGTTCTACCTTAGTAAGTTCTGATGAGGAGATGCCTGCCGCACCCCGTGACTCTACTAAATAGCTCTTTTTTCGTGGGTTTGATGAAGACTTCGGCTTTGTTTCTGAGGAAATGCCTCTTGCTTCTTTACTCGCGTATGTTTCCGTTGACCCTTAGTTCCCCGCACCTGTTGCTACTGCCACTGCTCCGCCCGTGGCTATTTTGACTCCCTCGACTGTCCCTACTGTTACAACTTCTCATGCCGAAGTTGGTTCCTCTAGTAGGGTAATGAAAAAAGTTACCATCGAGGTTCCTGAGGATGGTAATCTTCTGAAGAAATCCGGCCAAGCTGATGTATGGCTGAAACCATTGATTGGCCCAGTTGAGAAGTCAAAATTGGAGAGCTATAGTTCTTTAACGTGAATGAATGATATCGTACATTCATCTTTAAAGGTATAAGCCTTAGCTTTTTAATTCGCACGTGATTTCCTTTTCATTGATTTCACATTTTTTTTTTCATTGTGTAGATCAACCTCATTGGTACGGAGATGATAAAGAGGATCGTCCACACAGAGCAGCTAATGAACGATTATCACATCGAGGCAGACAATGCAACTGGAAGGAGTAGTTCGATAGTCTTCAACTTGAGAAAGAAGTCTTAGAGGAAGAAAAGTGTACCTTGGAGCAACAGGTGAAAGTAATGGTAGCAGAATTGACAGTTGAGAAAGCCTCATCTAATCAGGTGGATAAAAACCTTCTCAAGTCTTCATTTGCTGAGCAACTTTCTAAGGCCACTGAAGAATTAGGGGTCTGAAGGAACTACTGAACCTGAAAGAAGTTTATGCCGGGGAACTTGTTCAAACACTCACTCAAGCTCAAGAAGATCTCCGAGTATCTTCTAACAGAGTTCAATTTTTACAGGCTTCTTATGACGCTGCCTTGAATAAAAAGGAAGAGCTTAGAAGTGAGATTGAGCAGTGGGAAAGAGATTATGAAGCCCTTGAAGATAAGGCCGCTGTTGAAGTTAGTTCGACTTTCTTGAACACACGCCTCGACACTTTAACAGAGGCAAGCCGGGAAGGGTTTGACTTAGCTACTGATATTGCAAAGATTAAAGAAACTATTGAGAAAACCCAATAGAGTCAGAGCTTTTCTTCACCTGCGATTGACATTCCCGAAGGTGATGAAGTT